CTAATGAAAAAGGGGATGTCTAATAAAGGTTTTCTAACACAATACCTTTAAAAAATATTTACAGTTCTACCTGTGTATTTCATCATTTATCTCATTCATTTGGTGTTAGATTTTTTCTATTTTTTCCTTCACTTCAGTGTTGTCAAGTTTTTATCTTCTTCAAACAACAATGTAATCATAATTATAAGGCTAACTATCGCATAAGCTAAATATAACCACATAAAAATAAAATTCGCTGCTCGAATCCTACAAGCAGTTTTATTTTTTGCAGATTTAAATTCGTACTCACAATCAAATGGGATCGGATCAATTTCATGTATAGTGAAGATGATGTAAATAACTAGGTTAAAAAGTTACATATTAATACTGTAATTAGTCACTCTAAAGTTTTAAAAACATACTTGGTAGAACAAACCAAGCTATAGATGTAATAATTGTTAAAGCTCTATCACAAAATGTTGCTTATTAGTTTTTAATACCTATTACTTTCTTAAAAGTAAATATATAAATATAGTACTTATCTAAAGTCTTTCATATTAAAAAGGCAATAACAACACATTGCAAGAAAACTAATCGCTAAAAATATATGTTATATTTTTGAGGTATTAAGTCATTTATTCAAAATAAATTAATGAAGTTCTTACCAGCTGTTGACCAAGTAAGTGCTATATATCTAAACATCATAAAAAAATAAATAACATATTTTATTTTATTAAAAAGAATTTTGTTATTAAAAAATTAGTTGTTCTTACGAATATTCAACACCTTTATTATAGTTAAGTTCTCCATTAGTTTGATCAAACATGAGGACTTTTGCCAGTGCTATATTATAAAAAGAACTGTCAATGTTTTCTTAGATTATAAAATACGAGAATAGGATATCTATTACCAAGAGCTGGACAAAGAAATGTAAGAATAAAAAGTTGTAAGACCAACAGCGCCAAACAATATATTCTTATTTTTCCTTTTGCCATTTCACGTTTTTTGAAATTGATAATTTGAACAAGTTTGTTAATATATATGTGGCATAACAATACACAAGTTCTTTAACAATACATCGATTTTTCCCTTAATTTATCCTATCTTTTATAAATTCTTCAATAAATATTTATTAGTACATTTTTTTCAAAAGCAAACAATATTTAAGATACTTATTTGAATCTGATCATGTGAAAATTTAAACATTTACACTAATAACAGTAAAAAATTGTCAAACCGGTTCAAAATTTTCTAAGAAGAATGTTATTAAAAATATGATCAGTTTAATAACGTTAGACATATTACAAATGTGCACTTGGAGCAATTGCTAGAGAATTAGTATTTTTATAAAATTTATTTGAAAAACTATTTGCTATTCTAGAAGTTTTATCCATTTAGAATATTTACGAAAAAATTTTATGTCAATCGATTTTGATCCTTAAGAGAAATATAAATTCCAATTAAAATTTCTCTATTTCATTGAATTAAAATTTCAATAGATTCTTATTGTGATATGAAAAAAATATCAGATCTGTTCACATAAAACTTTAAATAAATAAAAGCAAAGATAAACATGACATTTTTTTTACTGAACGGGAAGCGATTAAGAAATAATTCAAAAAACCCGATAATCCAACTAATTGGCCCCTTGTCTTTTAATCTTCGAATAACTGTTTCTATTTAATGCTATAATTTTCACCATACAGTAACCTTTAACCCTAGTAAAAATATAGATTGAATAAAAAATTCAACATAAATATTAAATATATTCACAAAATCCAAAATTCTGATTTTTTTCAATTGAAATAATTAAATCGTATTGTGAAAATTGATTTTATCACCGTAATTTATTCACAAAATCCAAATTCTGATTTTTTCGATTGAAATAATTAAATCATATTGTGAGAACTGAAGGCCAAGCATTTATTTTTAGTATTGAATTTTTCATTTCATTCCTTATAATTATTTATTTAAGTCATCGCATTTCATATTTCATTTTATTTATCAAAATGAAGTTGACCCACAAATGTTATTTAGAAATTATCAATAATCTTGAGTATGACTACCACACTTTATATAACTGCCTCTTAGTTGATCGTACATTTTGTCGAATTACTGTGCCTATATTATGGGCTGACCCTTTCAATAATATATCTAAAAATTCTATAAAAGTTATGTCTATTTATCTTTCTTATCTTAATAAAAATGAAAAGCAGCAATTGACCTCAAATGCGTATCAGATCAATCTTTCAAGTATTCTCCAAAAAACTTTATTTGAATATACTGATTTTTTAAAGACTTATTCTAGCTACAAGATAAAAATTCTCATCTCATTGTGGTATCAATGTACTCAAGATATATCTAAGCCTAATTTAGAGATTTCAACTTTTGCAGCTGTTCAATGCATGTTGTTTAGAAAATGTAAGCAAATCAAGAATTTCTACATTTCAGTGGCTGAAGATAGCTCAACATCTCCTTTAATACCTAGTTCATAGTTCTATTCATCAGAATTGAGAGAATGTGAATTTAAATTTGTTGTTTCAAATAGTCAAAACACGAATGTATACAATTATATTAACTTAATTTCAACATGAAACAAAAGAATTCAGACCATCCGTATTTTGGCATATAATGAAGATATACCAGCAAATTGCCAAGAGCCATTTTTAAATTTAATTAACACTCAAACTGAACTCAAAGAACTTGAGCTGAATTATTTTAGCACTTCTAGATTTATATCTACGTTGCGACAAGAAATGTTGCAAACCAAATCTCAAAGTATTAGAAAACTAATTTTACAAGGAATCAAGTTTAATAAAGATAATCTTGCAAATCTTGTGCCAAACTTGGAGGAATTATCGATAAAACATTCTTTTGAAAATCCTTTTGGAAAAGACAAAAACAATTTACCAAATCTTCAAAGGCTCGAATTAATAGATAATGACATAGAATTAAATAGAATTATGCTAAAGGTAAAATGCAGATCACTAAAATTTTTTATAATAAATGAGAAGGAGTTAGACAACGAAGTAAAAGAGGAATTTATTTTTTTGCTTAGTCAAAATTATCCAAACATAATTACTTTATGTTATGTGACTGATAATCTTATGTTCTTTTCTGCACTTAAAAAACTTCATAAGCTTTGTCAACTACAAATAGGAGGATTTGCTTATTATAATCTTCCCTATAGTAGTCAAGATTATCTACAAGCCTTAATTAGATATTTGCCTAGCTCTTTAAAAATTCTTAGCTTACTTGATATTTATGATTATCATTACGAAAACTTGAATTGTTTTTTACAAGATTTTGATATAGAAAGGGTGAAGTTAGAAGTTTTTATATTACCTTTTAATGTTGAGCTTGATCTACTTCCAAATTTAAGAAAATTTATTGAAAAAGCTAAATATTTAAGATATATAGAAATAGTAAGATCAGAGAATTACAACGTAGAAAAACAGAAAAGCAGTGAGAGAGAAATAATTAATCCTTGTCAAGTTAGAAATATTAAGTGCGTTTTAAAATTTCAGTTAGAGAGATATAAAGATTATTTTTGTGCTTGTGAGATAGAATTTGAATCCTACATAGGAACTGAAGAATAACTACATAAAATTTAATATAAACTTACGTTTAAAACTCAGTTTAAAAAAAACTTAGCAAAATATTTATGTTAGAATAATATTAAAAAAATATTATATACTATTTGTCTGTCAAAACCTTTTGATTAGCAACTTATTAGACACATAACCTATTAATATTTCACAAATATATAAATTTATTCATATTGCAAATAGCAAAGCATGTGCAGAATACTAGTGCTATTTAAATTTCTATTATAACTAGATAAAATTCACCATGCAAATTCGGTTCAAATCACGCGATATGATTTTAATAAAATTATTGGTTCATTACATTATTCTAAATTATAATGATGATACTCATTAAAATCATTTGCATGATCTGAAAAAAATTTGGGTGGTGAATTTTACTCAGTTATAATATCCATCAACCCTAGCTACCTAAACAATATTGTCACAGCATATTCTCAATTTTGACTAGCTAAAGAGCAACGGTCAAAAAATTTGACAAGAATTACTGAAACCTTTACTAATGAAATCACAGCCGCCCATTAAGTTAAAATTGTTACTGAGCAATTTTACATTGTGCGGGCTTATTTCTTTGAAAATTTATATTTTTGAAACCAAAAAGTTAAAAAGTTAATTCTGGCCAGAAATTAGTAAACAATTATGTAATGTGGGCCAAAATTTTGAAGATCTACAGCCAAAATCGAGGATCTGCCATAACAATTTTGTTGCAGCAGCTATTGTTCTGAAAGGACTGATCGGACGGATATTTTAAAGATCTGAATCCGATCTGAAAACTGATTTGGGTCCATTTTTTAGATCCAAAACCATAATAAGTAGATCCAGATTCGATCCGAATCATCTCAAAAAAAAAAAAATTACAAAATATTTCGCTTTCTGCAACTCTCCGATGACTTTGCTTGTCTTTTATGTTGTTTGAATCAGAACAAATGCCTATGCTTCAGAACCTTATCCTACCATACTTTACATTTTGGACTGATTATTACCTGGAAGGATTTCTAAATCATAAATTTAGATTGGATCTGAATCAGATCTGGATCCTTTTTTGGAACACTAGCAGCAGCTATAGTTGATGGATATTATGGCATTGCGGCATTATGGCACAAAATAAGTACGTCAAACAATATAGCACATGCCATTGCCGTATTAATTTACAATTTACAAAAAAACTCTTTTTTGATATATGTACCCGGAATTTCTAAATTTTTGGATAAGTGCGTTTTTGCCTTGGATATTGGCATACGACAATTCACAAATCTTGTCAGAGTTGAAGCTCAGCCTTTAAAAACAGTTTTTATTTGTTACGAGGATTGCGTAATAATTGTATAACTGATAAAAACTTTGGTTTATAACGGAAATGCACATACCATTTTTTTCCAACGCGTGCTTCAACAAAAGAAAGTACAGCACTTTTGAAACAATATATAAATAATAGAGTAAGGAAAAATAATAATGCACATATAAAGAAGAATTTTACCTGACATCCACAAAGTTAATAAAAGCATATCCGACATTGCACTTGTTTTTAAAATCGAAACGCAAGTAGATGAAATCGTATTGACCACAATGGGTTTCGTTGAGCCAAGTTAACAGCATTCGCTAAATTTTACACAAGTAGCCGTAAGCAATTACACAGTTATGTCTGTTGATAATAGAATAATTTTATACCTGAGTATACTTGTTTGAAATATTCCTGATCATTAATGTGGTACGATTATCAAGACCTATTATGAAATGTTAGAACAATAAATTTTTTTACATAGTAAGTTCCTAATAAAACCTTTTAACAACTTAACCAATTATTGTAATAGTAAAGTTACAGGATATATATAATCAAAGCTTCCTAGTTCACACAGAAATAGCAAATTCTGATTGGTTGAATCATATTTGATTTAACACGTGATTGCTAGTAAAATTCTCCTACACTTACTTTTTTTGATACATCTAAACATAACTAACTTTTTACTATAATAACATCCAATCCTATCGGTTAGGCTTAGGGTATGTTTAGATGTATGTATCATAAAAGTAGGTGCAGGAGTGTCAAAAATCGCTCTACGTTCATCCTACCATTTAGAGCAATAAATTAAAAATACCATTTCTAATTCTTTCAAGATCTAGTGTATTATTTTCTGGGATAGTTCTGCTACATAGTCCGGTCCCACTTATAAGAGTTCTATATAATTTGCTTTCTACAAATGCACATCTTGAAGTGCATGCTTTTTGTTTTTTTTTTCCTATTTATATTACATTGAGATTAACTATCTTATTTAACTGTTTTTTCATCTAATTAAATATAATATTCAGTTATTAGAGTTTCGACTGTTAAAAGTAATTCTTAGGTGTTATTTTTACCAGTATATTCATCATCATCACTTTCTCCATCATCATCACTTTCTCTATCATCAATAAAGAATCCGAAGTGTCATTTAAAATCTGTATAATCATCAATTTCTATGACGAATCTTAGTTCACAAATTGTTGTCTACAACTAATGCAGAAAAGAATAATTTAAGTCGTTCACTTTAGCTATTAATTTGTTTAACAATTACCTTTGTATGAGCTTCTATACTTTGATTCGGATTTTAATTTTGTATTTGAATTGCCAAATAGGTTTTCACACGGATTAGTATAGCAATGAGCTCTTGTTTATTTTTCTCAAGACGTTTTTCAACATCTGATGATTTTATTCTAATAAAATGATCTATTATGAAATAGTACACTTTAATTCAAACCTATTTATATTAGCCTTCTATAATCTGCTCGTTAAAAATTAACTATTTATTTAATATTTCTATATTTTTAAGTTGCTTAATCTCTTCGGTGTAATTCACTTTAGTCATGTGATTTATTTAACTTTGATATTACCGATAGCAGTGAAAATTTAGAAGGTAATTATATCTTTAAAGCAATTCAAGTGATCTGTTTAATAAAGCACATTTGACGTGCGTCAAATCAATGAAGTATTGTTTAACTTTCATTGAAATTTAAATAAAATTTATCAAGCAAAATTTTAATAAGTCAAATTTAATTCCTAGTAATGTTGAATCATTGGGCAAAAAATACACATAATACTAAAATTTTCTATTAAAAAATTTAATTCAAACAATTCGGTTTTCTTATTAATATTTTTCAATTTTAAACTCTATAAAAAACCTTTGATATGGGTGTCGTCAATTAAAACAGCACATTTTTACATGAATAGATATATACATTCAATAAAAAAGTTTCCTACAAGT